CTGGAAGGTCCCAGGTTCGATTCCAGTCAAGGGCATGTACATTGGTTGCAGGCACATCCCCAGTAGGAGGCGTGAAGGAGGCAGCTGGTTGATATTCCTCTCCCATCGATGTTTCTAACTCTCTATCCCTCTCCCTTCCTCTCTGTGAAAAATCAATAAAATATATTACAAAAAAAAAAAAAAAAAAAGAATGTGTTGCCATTTGCATTGAGAATTAAAAAAAAGAAAAGAATAACTTTAATCATAGCATAGGCCTTGCCACACATATTCATTTACATGGATGAAACATGTTTAGTATCTTTACAACATACATTAGCAAATGGCCAACGTGTGGCACCTTCAATGCCACTCCTCCATGCCAATAGCAGACCTGGCTATTGATCATGGCTTTCTTACCTATGGGGCCAAGAAGTGTTCCCAGAAACATCACCAAGTTAGTGGGGTTGGCACATGAGAGGAAACCTATTTAGAGCTATAAGACTTAAATAGGCTTGCAAGTATGGCCTATTGCTCATGCCAATCTGGTGGATAACCTTTTTTTTTTTTTTTTTTTTTTTTTTTTTTCTTGTTAAATTAGCTGAGTAGGTATTTCTTAAGCCAAGGAAGTCCTGTTTGGAAGCCAGGCCGTGACGTGCTCTGAAATGTGTTGGTGCAGCAATATTGTGATATAGATGAAGAGTCAAGTTGGGAGGCCATCTCTGCCTCGAGCAAGGTGGCCACCAGGCAGACCTCCTTGGGCCACCTGTAAAACAGAATGATGCCAGCCAAGGTGGAAGTCAGGGCTGGGGGTTCTCTTGAGGTGGAATCAGTTTTCAGAGCTGAGTTGCAATGTCATACCCATCTGTGTGTGGTGCTCTCCTAGGTCCTGATTGATCTTTAGTTTCTCAGGCCCTCTATGTTTCTGGTGTGTACTCTTGGACACCAAGTTCAGACTTCAAGTGGTTTTGGGTACAACATCCTTAGCTGGGACCAATGGGCAAAGTGTTATGGATGTTGCCAGCATGGTGTAGGGCATAGCTGGCAGGTAGTTCCCAATTCATTTGCCATTCATATCAATTTGTGCTGGCGCTCAGTAGCACTGTGTTGAGATGGATTTGAAGGCTGTGTCCAGGTTCAGTGGACAGCAGGGCCATGATCCCTTAGGGATATCTGCCCTGGGGGACAGGGCTAAGGGGAGCACATGGCTGTCCACAATTACCATCCCTGCTGTAGGGGAAGAATTTTGCTTTAGAGGAGCAGACATGGTTTCTTGGTGTGATATTTTGAACAAGTCCCTTAGCCTTCTTGGACCTCAATTTCCTCAAGTGAAAAATAAGAACATTGCTTAGATGACTTTTAAATTCTCTCCATCTTAGAAATCCCATGATTTGCTGAAGCTGGTTTGGCTCAGTGGATAGAGCATTGGCCTGCAGACTGAAAGGCCCCAGGTTCGATTCTGGTCAAGGGCATGTACCTTGGTTGTGGGCACATCCCCAGTGGGGGGTGTGCAGGAGGCAGCTGATCAATGTTTCTCTCTCATTGATGTTTCTAACTCTCTATCCCTCTACCTTCCTCTCTGTAAAAAAAAATCAATAAAATGTATTAAAAAAGAAGAAAAAGAAAAAAGAAGTCCCATGATTCAAATTAGTTTTTTTTTAAGTATTCAAGGTAAAACATGCAACAAATCTGTTTGATCCAATTAAAATATTTCCAGCCCCCCACTCCAATCTGCCCGATGCTTGAGTGATCACGCTATCTATCCGGTGAAGGCCATTTCCCGGGCTGGAGCAGCTGGAGACCTTGGAGACAGAAGGCCTCCCATACTAAACAGATTCTCCTCTTTAATCTCAACGGAAAGATCCAGGAGGCGTGATTCACATCTCCCCCATTTCCTCTCCTCCGTCCTCTGCCAGCCTGAACCTCTCCCCTCCTGCTCTGCAAATGCGCCTGAATGCGGAGTTCTGAAATTTAGGTTTATGGTTTCAAAGTTCATGGTCCTGAGGATAAACAAAAAAACTATTGTGGTCGCAGGGAGCGGTGGACCCCATTAACACCACCCCATGAATATTTATGGTGTGAAACTACAAAAGAACATAGAGGCCATATTGTATTTCCTCGAACTTTCTTTCCATGGGGTCCTTTCTCTGTGGGGTCACTTTAATGTAAGCTTTGCTTATTTAGTTGCACACTTTAAGCTGATTAACTTTTTACTAAAAAAAAACAAAAAAAACCCCTCCCTTTTTGTTTGTACATACACTCCCTTCACACAGATTCACAGAAAACTGCTTGAAACCTGTTAAATCCCTCTGCTGGAAACTTGAAGGGAACTCAATGTGTCTCTGGGTAGGATTTCCCTGTGACTCTCCAGGCCTCGGGCCCCTCCACCCCACCTCAGCCTGCTTCCTGAGAGGAATGCCAGTGGTTCCGATACTCCATAGTTAGCTCCTCCAATAATCTCAGCTTATCTCTAGGTGACCATCTCCTGGAACATTAGCAAGGTCCTTCCTGTGTGGCCTGTGATTGGGGTGGACGAGCAGCAGGCCCTGGGTGGGTACTCTGCCCATCACTCCCAGAAATGGCGAGGAGCCGCAGAGACCTCAGAGTCCGCGGGCTCCGCTGCTCTCACGCTGCCGTGTGGAAGAGTTGGCTGGCCACGAGGCGGGGCGTGAATGGAACGTGCCTATTTCTGGGCCCTGTCCCCAGAGATTCTGATTTCATAAATCTGGGGATCGTCATATCAGCAGCCTCCTTGGACACTCTAATACAAGTGGTGTGTGGACCGTGCTTGAAAAACACGGCAGCTGTGGCATGGAACGCATGGAGAAAGGGCCAGCAAAGGAAAAGTCTCCGGCCCAGTGTTAACACACGCCCTCCAAGCTCCCTCTTCCCCAGGACAGGCAATGCCTGTGGGGCCATACTGCTTTAACTGGGCTGTTCGAGTCCCTGCCGCAGCTCTTCCATGAGCATTTGTGATCAGGCCTGTGAGTGCAAAGCTGTTTGAGAAATAAAGTGCCTGTAAGCCCAAGTTGTAAGTGTCCACATGAAAATCAGGAAATGGGCCAAAACCGGTTTGGCTCAATGGATAGAGCGTCGGCTTGGGGACGGAAGGGTCCCGGGTTCGATTCCAGTCGAGGGCATGTACCTTGGTTGCGGGCATATCCCCAGTAGGGGGTGTGCAAGAGGCAGCTGATCGATGACTCTCTCCCATCGATGTTTCTAACTCTCTATCCCTCTCCCTTCCTCTCTGTACAAAATCAATAAAATATATATATAAAAAAAGAAAAGAAAAAGAAAAGAAAATCAGGAAATGGCCCAAGTGGTGGAGGTGGAATGAGGGGAGATGAATACCTGCCGGAGGTCACTCCCATGGGATAAATCCAGGTCTCTGTTGGTTATGGTGTGAGCCCTCTCCCTTTCTGTCTCTAAAAAAAAAAAAAAAAAAAAAAAAAAAAAAAAAATCAATAAAAAATATTTTTGAGAGATATGATGCAAAATAAAATAACCCCTTCAACAAACAAACAAAAAACCCTTATCTTTCTTGTAAGATCATGTAAACACAGCTAATGGCAACCAAAGTATGAAGTTAACATTCTTTTAAAAAATATATATTTTATTGATTTTTTACAGAGAGGAAGGGAGAAGGATAGAAGGTTAGAAACATCGATGAGAGAGAATCATCGGTCAGCTGCCTCTTGCACACCCCCTACTGGGGATGTGCCCACAACCAAGGTACATGCCCTTGACCGGAATCGAACCTGGGACCTTTCAGTCCGCAGGCCGACGCTCTATCCACTGAGCCAAACTGGTTTCTGCTGTAGTTAACATTCTGACTTCCAGTGTCTTCACTTAAAGCCATAAGCTCATTTAGCTCACCTTGTGCCTACCAAGCTGATTCAGGCAATAGTATTGGCAAATACTTCATCACTGCATAAGTGCAGGTCACTTCCTTCCAGCCTGTAGTAACAGTTTCCTTGACACTGAGTATATATTTGTTATAGTAGTATACCACTTTTAAAAAATATATATATTTTATTGATTTTTCATAGAGATGAAGGGAGAGAGATAGTGTCAGAAACATCAATGAGAGAGAAACATCGATCAGCTGCCTTCTGCACCTTCTCCCCTCCCCCCCCACTGGGGATGTGCCCACAACCAAGATACATGCCCTTGACCGGAATTGAACCTGGGACCCTCTAGTCCACAGGCCGACACTATCCACTGAGCCAAACCGGTCTTTGCAGTATATCACTTTTGATAACAATTTCTGTATTAGTCAGGATGAAGAGGTTATGCTCCAGTAACAAATAGCCCCCATTCTCAAATGCTTATCATAAATAAAAGTTTTTATTGGGAAAAAGGGGGCATGTGTAATACTTTCAACAATGAATATTTTTTTTAAAGTTTTTATATTTTTCATTCATGCTACTTATTAGTCACCTCATTGCTCCACACGATCTTTCCTCCAGAACCCAGAATGATAGAGTTGCCCCCATCTGGAACATTGCTTGTCTTGTAGAAAAGGGAAAAGAGGACACGGAGAATCATGTAGTGGCTCTCCAAGCTTCCTCCCGGGCTTAATTAGTCAGAGCAGGTAAATCGGCTCATCTGACGTCAGTGCGGCATGGAAGTATAACCCTCCCCCAGGGAAGGACAGCAAATAGTGTGAACAATAGTGCTATCTATCACATTATGGTTTTTCATGTATTTATATCCCGAGGACTCTGAAGAAGAGAGAAATAGCTGTCCTTGCTGTGCCTACAGCTAGAGAAAGGTGACCTTTCAAAACGCCTTACAGACGTAGGCCTTTGATCTTTATGATAGTTTGCTTTAATGCACAGAATTATTATTTGTCTTTCCTTCTTCCCTACCAGCCCTGTGTCAGAATAAAATTGGATTGGCTGGGCTGTCTTTTCTAGGTTTTGCTACCCAACACCCGATGCCTTCTGGGGCATTAGTAAATCCATTTCTTGACCTCCAGCTTAAATTGACCCACTTGTGTTTTTGTTTTCTTATCCTCCCAGCTGTCTTTTGGGGAGACATTGCCCTGGATGAAGAAGACCTGAAGTTATTTCATATTGACAAGACCCAAGACTGGATCAAACAGTCAGTGGAGAGAACAGGACATGGAACAGGTGAGTACTGTGTTGTCACCCTGCCCCACAAGGCGGGTCAGGGACCCACCAGGGGTAGATGTGGACCACAGACCACCAGTGTTTGACCCGTCAGACCAGTGCCCACTTGTCTGTGGAGAAGCAGAGGCTGTGCAGCTGGAGCCACCATGTGTGCTGAGCCTGCTAAGAAAATCTCATCTGCCTGTTCAGACTTGACTCAGTGGTTTCAGACCTGAGCTCAGCGTAGGTTCTCAGGACTCTGGCCTCGGGGTCCAGCACTCCCAACTGGAGAGGGTTCAGGATGGGATGCATTTAAGGCCTGTGTGACGCTAGTGGTGAGTACTGGCAATGTTTGCCCATGGCTGACACGTGGCTGACAACCCAAGCAGAAGTTCCCTGGGGCTGGGAAACACGGGTGGCTTCAGACTTGGATTTCTTTCTTCCACTCTCCCGTCTGGCCTCCCTCTCAGGGCGAATAGTAATGGGACTGATCTTCTGAGTGCTCCCTACCTCCCAGCCCCTTTTGCTCACATACCCCAGCTCAGTGGAATCACCTTCCCAGAAGCAGCCTAGGGGGCTGAACTGTGGGGCTGATGGGCTGGTGTGTCTGATGATGGCTTATGTGGTGACAAAAACTCACATGAGCCTGATGCTACACCGTCTCTGCTACCCATGACCCCCAGAGACCCTTTCCTGCCACCCTCTTTTTCTTTTTTCTCAAGTCTTTTAGAAATTATTGTAGTAAGAGCACAACATGAGATTTACTCTCTTAATAAATCTTAAGTGTACAAACAGTATTAGAAACTTTATTTTTCACAGCAACATACACAACCTTAATTGAGCTCTAACAGAAGAAAGCATCTTTTTATAACTCTACCACTCCAACTGGCATAGTCTTACCCAGGTTCTTACCTGGAGGTCTAGAGAGGTTGACACGATTGTAATCTTTGTGTGGTTAAAATTATTTTTAACTTTTTTTTTTTTTGCATTTCTTAAAAATAGTGAAATTCATATATCCCAAGCATACAATATAATGAGCTTTTACATACATCCATGTAACCACCACCCAGACCGAGGTATGGAACATTTCCTGAACCCCTTATGACCCTTCCTACCAGTATCCACCCCACAGGCGCCACTAGTCTGACCTCTATGCTGCAGATCCTTTTTACCTGCATAAAGGGATCAGGTAGCATGTGTAGTTTGTGTTTCTTTTTCACTCAGCTTTATTGTCGTGTGGTAGTCTGTTGTATGAAGGTACCCTAGTGTATGCGTCCTTCTGTTCACAGACATCTGGACAGTTCAGTTTTCAGCTATGATAAATAAAACTGCTGCTGGCATTTCTGAATGTGTCTTTTGGTGGACACAAGCCCTCACTTTTACTGGGTACAGACCCAGGAGCAGAATTGTTGGGTCAAAGATGCTGCATACATTAACCTTGGGTAGCGACTGTCCGACAGATTTCCAAAGTGGTTGTACCAGTTCACACTCTGCATGGGTACATATTGATTTGGAAAGCAGGAGGGGTGACCATGTAGGATCAAGTGAGCCTTGGTCTTTCCTGTTCGGGGACCTGCCTCACTCCCTGGGCCAGCACAGCAGCCAGTTGACATCCATCACCATCATGGAATGCTCAGGGTGGCCCCTATCCGTGGCCCATAGGCTGTTCCTGGGGAACCTGCCATGGGACAGCATAGGGGCCCAGGCTTGGCGAATGTGAGATACCTCAGAGAGGAGCTGGAGTAGCTAGCTCCCATGCCAGCTGCATTCCCAGCTGTCCGGGAGGTTGCCTGGGATTGCTGCAGTAAAGGGCAGCCTAGCCACCCTGCCATCACCTCCTGCATAGCACTACCCTAGCAGTTTTCACCTTTTTTCATTTCATAAACTAGTTACTCAAATTCTGCGACACACCAAAAGTTTTATTATATTTTTTGTTGACCCAACAACAACAACAAAATTGGTGTAATTTTGATTCATTTACACTGGACAGCTGTTGTCATTTTTTTTTTTTTTTTTTTACTTGACAATATGAGGGAAAAGAGGTTAGTGTCCCTGACTAAATAGTCAGGCATTGCATGTTTTAAAACTCTTGTGGCACACTGGTTGGAAATAGCTGCACTAGCCCAATGCCGACATAGTCAACCTTATGGTCTAAGAACCTGAGAACCTGTCTTCTCTTTTCTTCTCCCCTGTGAGCTGAGAGAGGGCAGAGTCTATGTCTTATTAAGCTTTGGATCCCCCGGAGCTCCCTGCATCTATTGATAGAAGGTACTGGGCAACATGGGTGGAGGAGGGAGAAGGAGTAGGTGGACAGAACCATCTCCCAGGGGCCTAAGAGATGAAGAGCTCCATGAGAGCTTTGCTTCCAGAAGGGCGGTTAAAGTACTGGCCACAGTCACGAGCTATTGGGTCAGACTGCCTGGGTTTGAATCCTTGAGCTGGGCCTTGGTTTCTTCATTTGTCAAATGAGAATATAATGTTCTGAGGACAAAAGGAAAGAACATGTGTGAAATGCTTAGCATGGTGTCTGGCACATAATAAATGCTCGCTAATATAAATAAATAATTCTCTTGGGAGCTGCCAGAGGAAGAGGCAGCAGCATTGTGGATGTACAGGGGCGAGGAGGCAAGAGTGCGTTCTTGAGGGAGAGAAAGTCCTGTGTGCATTTTACTGCAGAGAGAAGAATGGGAGCTCTGAGCAGGCATTGGCCAGGCTGCTCTCTGAATGGGGCCCTTGAATGAACATTGCAGAGTTTCCTAAAGCTGCTAATCGGATTAGCTATGTAGTGAAGGAAGTACTTAGCGGGACACACACACAGACCCCACCCCCCACCCCCACCCCAGCGTCCTCTTCGAAGTGATGGTGCAGATCCTGGCAGCCCCGCTGCTGAGCTCCGACACCTCTCCTCTCGCCACACAGACGGGGAGGAAAGGCCCGGTTGATGTTCGGGTCTTTTTGCATGTTTGTCTCTTCCCTAAAGAGTCCAGGAAGACCGTGTTGAGCACACCCATCTTTGCAAATGTCTGGAAACCTGGGGAGGAAATTTCATCCTGCAGTTACCGGTACGCCATCCGGATAAATGGATCTGATTTCTTGACCTCTGTAATGAGGACTCTGAAAGGGGAAATGGTTTTAATTACTTATTGGCTCTGGTGGAAGCTGCTGTTTCCCACCTTGTCTATTCTGAGCTGTTGGGCCATGTCCATCTCTATTTAAAAAACCAACCTTGCTCTAAACCCTCATTTCCTAAACTCCTGCCATCAGTTTTCGGGCGTCTGCATAACAACTGTGTGGGCATCCAAGTTCAAAATAACACATTGGCAGGAGAGAGTCCTAGATATATGTTTGGATAACTTCCCTCCCCTCTCTGGGCCTTGTCTCTGAGTGATGAGGCCCCTTCCTCTGGCAGACCATTTTTGCTCCTAGAGTTCCTCTTCCTGTTCTAGTTTTGGCTTGGAGTGGCACAGGTTACCAGCACTTGGTCTCAGTGTTCCCATCTGAATAGGGGCTAATGCATATTCATAAGATACCCACGTGTCCCACACAGGTTCTAGGCTCAGCCTTTCAAGGTTTGAGGGTCTAAAAAAGACCCAACATGTCTCTGCTCTTGACACATTGTTTTAAAATTAAATTTATTGGGGGTGACATCTATCTATCTATCTATCTATCTATCTATCTATCTATCTATCTATCTATCTATATCTACCTAAAAGCCCAAATAACCGTTATGCCCGGTCCACCAATAATAACCAGTTGACTGGTCATTATGATGTGCACTGACCACCAGGGGGCATACGCTCAATGCAGGAGCTGCCCCCTGGTGGTCAGTGTGCCACCACAGCCAATCTCCTGTGGCTGACTAACCTCCTGAGGTCCCTCCCCCAAGCCAGTTGGCCCCATCCCAATTGGGACTGGGCAAGATGGCCCTATCTGCCCTGATTGCTGGCCAGGCTGAGGGACCCCACAATCCGTGCACAAATTCATATACCAGGCCTATAGTGGGGTAATAAAATTGTATAGGTTTCAAGTGTACATTTCTATGATACATCACCACTAACCCTGTCCCCCTGAGCTGTGAAGACTTGGTCTCCCACCCCTACCTTTGAGAGGTGATGGTAAAAGACAAGGATGAATTCCATGTCCTGATGAGGCTGCACCTCCTTCTGCCCTCTGTTACCTCGGTGGGCCATTCAGTGTGTGCCTTGTCCTGTCCACCAGACTGCCAACCGCTGTGACTTGTCCTTGTTTGGTTTTGGCCCTCCCTCTGTCGTTCCAGCCTCAAGCAGGGCACATAAATGGTGCCAGACAGACACTTGTGAATTGTGAATGGGGCCATGAGCCTCAGAAGTGAATGGCGGCCTCCTTGCTTCCCTGCTCCTCTATGTCCTGAGAGGCCAGTTAGGGGTAGGACTCTTTGTTTGAATGTGTGACACCTCAGAACCCAGCCTGGAATGGACAGCAATGAAAGAAAGGCTCATGCTCAGGGGTGGTGCCTTGGGGCTGGGCAAACCCAGGTCTGTAGGGAGCGTCTGGAAAGGGCATTTTTTGGCCGGGTGGTTACTAGCTTACCTTTACCGGGCCCTTTGTTCAGATCCCCGGATGGAACTGTGGTCCTTAGGAGTGCTGGCATTCCTGCTCGCCCCTCCAGGGCTCCCTTCCCACCTGTGGAGGGGCCCTCAGCTGACGACTTTGTTTCACCCTTGCCCACGTTGCTTTGGCTCCCATGGTTTATAGGGGTGTCGAACTCAATCAGAGAAGGGGCCAAAATCTAAAATCCAGCCTAAATCGCGGCCGAATGGTTTACTGAACAGTCATAAACTGTCATTGTGATGGAAACGCAGCGGAGTGCAGTGATGACAGCGCGGTGCGGGCCACATTGCAAGGCCTGGCGGGACGGATTTGGCCCGCGGGCCTTGTGTTTGACACATGTGGTAGAACTTGATCTTATGCTGAACTCCTACTGTGCGCTGCCCTACACTCTCCCCTTGCGCCCTGTCCACAGCTCTGCTGGCCTCTGACAC